TAAARTTAAAATCATACAGAAYRGATCCCCAGGCAGACCGAAGGAAGRCACCRKAAGTCAAGMGYGKTTATGGGTAAACAAAATCCAKATSGGGTTTGAATAACTGCCCAGCATAAACCAGTGAAATAGTTAGGCCACTCTTTTCCATTCTTCCCTTTTAACACTGGTGTGGTAGGAGCTAAGCTAATAAATATGTTAGAAAAATAGAAGCACGTGGTAGAGAAGCAGGTTCCAGCAGAGCCACATGGGGAGGCAGCTTTTACTCTAGCTACCTAGATTAGTTTTGTAAGCTTTTCTATGCAGAGGTGATATGGATGTACTCAAGTATTTCATGAACAAGAGCTAATTAAATGGTGTGTGGGCAGTATTAGAGAGAATCACTCACTCTCRCAGACCTGTGCAGCTATTAATAAAAATAATGCTCATATTCTGTAACTATTTCCTACATGATCTGACATTCCCTTTTTTCTGCAGCATCACTGAAGATAATGAGGACTTGGAGTCTGTACATTACAATCAGGAAGAATAGTACRACTGCATAAGAGCAGTATGGATTTTATTTTCTGAGCTAACTTAACTTTGTCAGTAATGTCAAATGTCAAGTTTCTGAACCTCATTATCTTATCTCACAAATTTTACATACCTGAGCTCATAGTTTCTTTGCACAGAAGCTTTCCAAATTATTATATCAGTAAATTATCTGTAAGATKAAAAATTCTCCTCTGTAACTGGCAGAGTTTCTGTCTGTGGACTGTGCACTCTTCATTTAATTAAAGTTGTTTATTGCTCAAGAAGCATATCACAACTTCGAAGATGATGAGGTGAGCTTCTCCATGGTTTCTCCTTGAAAAAGAAATCATGCTAGGGAAGGAATTTTCTGGTGCTTGTTTCGCTTAATGGTCCCTTCAAGATAYTTAAACTTGTTCCCAATGTTGTAAAACCCAACTGCTCATTTTACAAATAGATGGCCCAACGCAAAGTGTTACAGTCCCACAGCAGAGGCAATGTAAAGACATGTCTTCAGATACTGATAGAAGTTTTTTGAACTTACTTGGCTAGCCTTTTGCTGGCATGCCTTTAAGGGTTCATAGACCTCTCGACTCCATAAAAGACCTGTAGAAACAATAAATAAGTAGCTGGGGTAGTGTATTGTAATAAAGAGTTGGAAAATTAGGTTTTTAAATATTCCTGGACCTACCTTGGATGCTTACATAGCATATAGTAGCCCTGAAGCTTATTCGTGCTTAAAAAAATTATTTGTTCTAACCAAACACAGAAATTACATTTTCTTGGAAATCAGTTGAAACCATAAATCATTATTCTGGGGATAGAGACCAGAAAATTGTTTCCAGTGTAGAGGAGGAAAGATGACATTAGCATGGAATGTGAAAGAAAAAGGTAGTTTCACAGCGAGAGCATATGGCAAATATGGGCCTCCTTTTTGGATCAAATTTTACCTGATACAGAAGGACACAGGGGATGCTCTTCTTTTAGTGTGTGTAACTCCATCACTACTGAAAAAATTCTATGAACTTGTAGGGCAGAAACAACAAAGTCTACAAGRAGTACACTGTAACAGGAACTCTTGACAGTGAGATCAGCATGAATGAATGGAGAAGGTAAACTGGACTTGACTGAGGCTTYATTTTCCCTTTTTCCATGCAAATACTATTTCTTTGAAGTAACATTAGCAAAAGCAATTCAAAGCTCAGCTATGTGTACACAGCACTGTTATTTCTTTACAGCAACTTTTGTCGTAATAAAAAAAAAGATCTTTTACCTTGATACACCACTTCTCATCTTCAAAGCATTCTCGCAATACATTCTAGCTAATCTGAACACCCTTCAACACAGTTAAGGTTGATTGTCATCACGATTCTGACTACAGCAGGGACAGGGTTTAAATTACTTACGTGCATAAAAGTATTTGCTGTCTGAAGTGAGATTAAAACTCAAGGGTCACTATGTCCTAATTGCCTACAATAGAACTTTTCTCAACTTTGTTTTGTACTGTGAAGAATTATCTTCTCACACATAGACTGTTTCCTATATTTAGCTAAATAATATACTATYTTTGTAATTAAAATGTTTCTTACAGTAACAATGATGTTTCTGTTCATTTGACCAAGGTTTCCAAGCTCTGTCAGCCCTATGACCAAAACTGTTAAGATAGYTGTAGGGGAACTTATATCATCAGGTCTTCCTAGATTTCCAAGGACTTCCAGGATTTTCAGGTATTGACTAAATGTGGACTTCCACAAAAATTCCCTTGAGACATAAAATATTACTTAACATTTAAGTCTGAAAGGCCTTTATCTGATATATAAATTTACCTACTTTTACCTAAGCTTCTTTTGTATTTTTGAATGGTGTAAGGTGTAAACGAAAGTTAATTTTTACACATTGTTTTTAAGTAAGCTAAGGAAACACTGCCCATGAGACACAGCCAACAGAAATACTGAGAAATCAAAGCAGAGATATTCCAAGTAATTGTGTATTTATTTTTTAAAAAATGAGACATCTAACTGTTCATTTTTATTCAGATAAACGCACTTACATTTCATTGTTTAGAATATGAAGTGCAAAGTGCAATCTCTGGGAAAATATACAGCTACTGCTTTATTTAAAGGTTTTCTGTAATGTCATAAATGGCATTGGGAAATTGCAACCTCTCTAGTAAACCTGTCTTTTTAATAGCTTATGTTGATTTTCCTGAACATTTGGATTTTGTTGGGATGGTGTTCAATTACATGCTTCCAATTTCAAATGGCTGCTGTAGAAAGCTAACTATTCATCATAAGTGTARTGTTAAAGCTTTCTGGAAAACAGCTTCCTCATGAGCAGTCACTGAACTGGATTCCATCTCTGAATCTTCTAACAGTATTTTAATTTAAAGTTATTCAAAACTGAGACATCAAAAGCATATAGTCTATAGCAATGAAAGCATTTAAAATGTTAATTCCACAAAACACTGTTTCTCAGCTGCTAYTGATCAGTTAAATAATTTTGAAGGATTAGATAAATGTATTCCCTAATTTAGGTTATAAAATGATATAAGTAATGGGAATTTAATAATTGTTSACAAACACCTTTCTTGAAGAAGTGCAAAATTGCATGTTGATACAGATCTTCCTTCTAGTAAACTGCTAAACTGCAGTTCACATGGTATTAAGTGTGCCGTTTTTTAGCTCCTTTTCTGATTCTAAGATGTCCATCCATTGCCTGGACTGTGCCAAAACAGTTGCTCAGATTAGCCATCTTCAGAAACTCCATCTAATGAAGCTTCTTTTGAGCTTCCAGCTCAACGTTTCTTCAAATATCTATGTCATTAACAATTCAGTGTGAGCAGTCTCTTCTACTTGCTGCTCTGTGTTCAGATTTAATGCAGAGATATGGGAAGCATTATGCAGAGCAATACTACAAAACACACAAAGCATCAGAGAATCCACAGGTATGAAGTTGGGAGTTTTAAACACCAGTAAGAACCAACTTTTAACTTACAGTCCCTGGAGTGCAAGTGGTGAAAATTTTCTCACTATTTAAGCAATGTGAGCTCTCATATTCAAAAAGCAAATAGATTGCATGTGGCTGTGGTCAAAGATGAATACTGTGACACAACTGTCACAACTTTTTATAAGCAATTCAGCAGAGGAAAATTYTAGGACTGATCAAAAAGAACTGCCAAGAATTGTTCATTATTAGATTCTATACACTAAAAGTAGAACATATGCCATCAACAGAAYGAGAAATTCATGGTAAATTGCAGTCTTATTGTGGTGTTATGGCTACACATTGAAGCTGTAAAAGAAGTTAGCCTGACAAACTATAACTACAATTGAAGTTAACATGTAACTTCACTCATGTCCTTCTTTCTCTCAGGTCCTTCTTCTCTCTCTTGCATTTTGAAATGCAGCAAGAAGGCTTCAGCCTTGGTGACAAATTTTCTATATATTTTCTTTCTGCTTCAGGAAACTATCTTTCTTTTTTGCCAAACATGCTCCGGTTCTCAGACATCATTTTGGACACAGAAAAGACAACCATTAATTTGAAGGACCTTAAAACGCTAAATTTATTTGGTTTATTTAAAACAAACCTACTTCATTAAAAAGTATTTTTAATTTGGCATTTTCTCGTAGGGTAGAGCGAGAATTTTGGTCTCATTTTGCCATTTCTGTCACTCCAGGGCTAATCAGCACTTTTTGCTTCATGTCACTATTTTATAGCATGTTCAGGGATTTAGCTCCGCCTCTGTTGGCAAATTCARGAATTTGAACAGGGACAAGTCAGATAAACCGCTGCGTTTCCAGGACTATGAGAAAGGTGGTCTRACTGCAGTACGGACCCTCTGAAAGTTAAGTTTTCAGAAAGACTCCGCCAGTCCTTAGCCATCTGAGCACACAGCCACAACTTTTAAATCGACAAACGATTTTTAATCACACCCACGGCAGCACCGCTCCGGTTCCCCACAGCGGAGGCTCCGAGAGTCGCAGGAGAGCCTGCAGGTCGGAAAGGTGAAGAAGAGAGCGAGTCTGGTGCTTGTTTCGCTTAATGGTCCCTTCAAGATACTTAAACTTGTTCCCARTGTTGTAAAACCCAACTGCTCATTTTACAAATAGATGGACCAATGCRAAGTGTTACAGTCCCACAGCAGMGGCARTGTAAAGACATGTCTTCAGATACKGATAAAGGTCTTTTGAACTTACTTGGCTAGCCTWTTGCTGGCATGCCTTTACAGGTTCATAGACCTCTCAACTCCATAAAAGACCTGTAGAAACAATAAATAAGTAGCTGGGGTARTGTATTGTAATAAAGAGTTGGAAAATTAGGTTTTCAAATATTCCTGCGAACCAAGCGGCATTTARGCMCGGCCCGGCTCTCCCGCCCCTCAGAGCTCGAAGCGCTCCCGGGCGCACCCAGACCCGGGCCCTCAGCGCGGGCGGGTGCTGCCCCCTGGCGGCGGGAAGCGCCCCCCGTGBGGAGCGCGGCCTCCCGGCCCCGCCCCGCCCTCCCGCCAGCATGGCCGCCGCCGCCGCTGCCGCCTCGCTGCCCGTGAAGGTAAGCGCGCCTCCGCCCAGCCGCGCCTCAGGAGGGAGGAGGCGGTGTCCATCGCCGCTCGCAATCCCTCCCCGCCTCTCGCCTCCGCCCCCCGTCATGGGGCGGCTGTGGGAGCGGGATACTGCGGGTCGCGCCGCTGCCCTTCTGGCGGTGCCGCGCGCGTGCCGGGAGGCGCTGCCTTCCTTCCTCCTTTTCCTTCCTTCTTTCCTCTCTCCYTCCCTCCYKCCCGCCCGCTGCGCCCATCCCCGCTTCCTGCCGCCTTCCCACCTTCCCGCCGCGCCTCCTGCCGGGCGCGGGCCCGGGTKTGCGGCGGTGCGGCTGTGGCGGGTGGCGCCCAGCCCGGGCACTCCCTCGCCCAGGCCCGTGCAGAGGCTCCCGCCGCCGTCCCGGAAGAGAGGATTTTTAATTTATTTATTTTTTAAAAAAAATCTTTACTTTTAAGAAAGCTGGCGGCCTCCTTTTCCGGTTATCCGACCCGGGTGCGGTGTGTCGGGTGGAGAGAGAAGGAGRAGTACTGCGGCGGGACTGTAACTGTGGGCTGTGTTTGTAAACGTGCACGGGTCTCAAAAGATTTGCAGAAGTGAGCAGCGCGAAAGTTAGCCTTTAAGACTTTTCTCCTGTGTATTTGAAAAGCGGTGGTAGCACCAGGGGCGAGCAGGCCGGGAATCGGGCTGAAACTCCTATATTTCTGCGRTGAAGCAACTCCCCATTGTTCTGATGTGTAGAAAACAATTCCAACCTGTCTTTAATATACAGGTTTATTCTCTTAACTGTAAATTTTATGCACCTTGATTTTTTCTCCTTTTAAGCAAAAAATGTTTGTAATGCTATCTTTGCCCATTCCTCAGTATACCCAGAAACAAAAGAGAGAAATACAGAAAGATTTGTTGACAAATGTCAAAAGTATCCATAGGGGATCAATACTTGACATGTACTTGTGTTTAACACCCTTAGACAAGTGTAGGCTGTTACAGGACTGATATCTCTGTGCCTTGGGCTTAAATCTGCTTGGGGGAGTTCACCAAACACCTGGTGAAGAAAGGCATACACTTCAGTGATTGTTACTTGGCCTCCGACAGAGAAATGGATTTGATTTTTGTAGTTACTGATGTGATAGCTTCTTGTTAGGTTTCACTTGTGTTGCTCTTCATCCCAATGTTTGAGATCACCTATATAATAGTAAAATAATYTGTGTTTCACTCTACTGCAATGCCATTTTATTTGAGATGTAATTCGAGATAATGCTAGATACAGTCTCCATTAACTTTTACAAGTTATAAGTTTCTTGTCCCTTTGTAGGATTAGGATGTAATGTCTGAAATGGAGAATACACTCTTAACATCTTCCCATTCTTGACGTCGTTCCTAGATGTGAGGTCACTCCTCTGGCTTTTGAGGAGACATGAAACTGTTCTCCCTTCATCAACTCCTGTCTTCCCATCCCTTCAGTGCCTGGATTGGTAAGAAGCAATAGAACTCAGCTTCCCTGACAGAGTGTTGTGGTTTAGAAGTGGTGCTCTCCAGTTTAATGTTCCCAGTGAAATCATGCAAAACGATGCGTCTCCTCCCCACCTTCCCCTGCAGCAGAATGGAGAGGAGAATTGGAGGCACAAAAGATGAAGATCATGGGTTGAGATAAGAACAATTTACTGAAAACAACAAGATAAGAAAGCAAAAGGCAACAGTATTAATAGCAAAAATATAGGAGAGAGGTGAGCAGTTCATATACAACTGCTGACCACTATGCAGAGCCCAAAAATACTAAATTGTCACACTCCCCTGATCAGGGRCGCCTTCCTGTTTCTGGAAAATTGTATKAGGTGGTATAGAATAATCTCTGTGTCCTAGTCATGGCTCTCTCAAGCTACTGGAAAAATTAATCTTATCCTGTCCAGAAGAGGGTATCTCCASCACTGAGCCTAGAGCTTCTGCATTCCTTTCATTAATTCACTAGAAGGCTTGGAAAGCAGAACTATAGAATCAGACTTTTGCATCTAGCTGCCAGATACAAACATTATTTCTGGAGATTATGTAAACTGGAAGAAAAAGAACTGTCTGTCAGATAAAATTAATTTTAGGATTAGAACTGTCAGCTGCAAGTTGACATTACATGATTGTAGAAGCAGCTGTTTCTAAAATCTCTTCTGCCTAACTTTCCTTACACTGGAGTAGCTCTGCAGTGAATTTTAAGTGAGCCCAGCATTTCTCTRTCCAGTGTTGCCTCAGTTGGCCTGAGGGCTGACCAGACTGCCACTGAGGTGTTCTGCAGTGGGTAAGAAGCCAGAAAAAAAAAATCAGCATAGTCTAGGTCTTCTGTAATTTGGTCCTCTGTGCCCTGGGAGCTGTGAATATTTTGGAAGCTCATTGCAGTGCTGCCACTTCTGACAGCATGGCTGTTGGTGTAAAAGCCTACTCATGAACTGAACAGTGCAGCCAAAGCACATAATGATGGTGCTGTGGCAGYAGATTTAGGGAGGCTGAGAGCAAATTTGGAAGAAGACACACCTGGCCATACTGTCTCAAGCCAGGCGTGCTGCTTTCTGTACAGGAGCAGTCAGTGCAGGATCCATCCACTGTGATGGATCTGCCGTTCGTAATGRTCTTAAATTCATTGTAGTTCCAAAATAACTTTTATGTTATGCATCTGTAGCTGCTCTCTCCAGCATAGCACTCTTTTCCTCAGTCCCAACAACTTTCACTTTGCAAGGTGTAGAAGTTCAGAAAGGTAAGCATTCCCTTTTGAATGTTCTCAATCTTAAGTCATAGGGCACAAGTAAAACAAGTGTTGCGCCAAGCTAAAACTAGTAAAGTTGCTGAAGAAACCTTTTTTTTCCTAGATCAAAAAAAAAAAAAAAAGCACCATTTCAGTCCTATAGTCCATTAATGTAGCAATCATCCGTGTTTATTGAATGTCACATATAAAATGTTAAAGATGGTCTTTTGTTCATTCTGAGTTTCATTRTTGTTCCTGTTGCATACCTTCCGGAGTTCTTAAGGCAATATGTTATTACTGTGTCTAATGTGTATATAGTTTCTAGGATTTTCATGAGCAGTCTAAGTCGGAACCTTTGTGATAGCTAAGCAACACGAGTAACATGGGAACAGACCCATTAGTACTACTGCAAACAATGATCTAGGTCTTCCCTGAAGYTTGTGTCAGTATTCAGGGTCCGAGTATGTGGGTTTTTACTATTTTCCTTTGCACTTCTCCTTGTGCTCCACAAGGGGGTAGCAAGGGGAAGTAGGAGATCGCTTAACACTACCTTATCGTATCAGTGTTTGCACCACCTGGTGTGGAAAGCTTTGTTATTTTAGAGGTATTTGATATGTAATGAAGACCACAGAGCCTCTGCTTGTTGAAAAGAAATGCTTGATGAGCCAGCTAATACAATGATCGAACAAATTGTGTCTCTATGAATGTGAAAGTAAGAAAAAGCTAGAGTGAGAGGCAGTTGGGTGTGTGTTGTGGAAGGGGGGGTGTTTATGTTGAAGTCAGGAGGTTTTGGGAAGTTTTCAGTCCTTGTAATGAGTTATGTCAGGATGGTTCAGATTTTGTTTTTCCCTGATAAGCAAATAAGTTATGATATGAATTCAACTTGAAAGTGAAACAGACCTTACAACAACTGGTCGTGTTGAAGAAAAAAAGAAGCACTAGCTTTTTCTCTGTGTGTGATAAATGGTGACATCACTTTTAAATATCATTACTAAGTTTTCAGTTGTAAAAAGCTTGACAGAACTGATTCCATCCAAAGACTTACAAGTGTTCTGAACACAAGAGAAAACTTGACGTGATTGAAAATCTAACTATCCCTAGAGTGACAGAAACCAAGTTACTTTCCAATGAGGAACTAGAAACAAGAAAAATCAGATGCATTTTTCTTAGCTAGAATATGCAATCACAGGCAAATCAAGACACAACAGGGACTTTAGTTGGGGAACCTCTTAGATTTTGTCAGGTCAACACAAAAAACTATTTTTTTCCATAATTTTTTCTTTATTTTGGAAGTATAATACCCTATAGAAATGCCTGTGTCTGGGTTACAGGTATAGTAAAGTTAATTTCCTCTCAGTATCTGTTACAGTGCTGTGTTTTGGATTCAGAATGAGAACATTGTTGATAACACACTGATGTTTTGGGTTTTGCTGAGTCATGTTTATCCTAAGTCRAGAACTTCTTTTTTCCCTGTCTCATACTCTGCCAGGGAGGAGGTAGMGGGGYTATGCAAACAAAACTAGGAGGGAGCATAGCTGGRACAGGTGAACCAAACTGTCAAAAGGGATATTCCACACCATGGGRCATCATGCCCAATACATAAACTGAGGGAGTTACCCAGAATGGCGGCCAGTCTGGGTTTGGAAATGGTGATCTGGCATTAGTCAGTGGGTGGGAAGCAACTATACTGTACATCACCTGTTTGTCCCTTTTTGTTTTTATTTTTATCATTTACCCTTATTACCATATTTAATGCATTTTCAGTTATTAGAGTATTCTTATATTGACATGCAAGTTTTATGTTGGTTCTTCTCCCCCATCCACTGGAATGCAGGAGGAAATAAGAGGGGTTTGAGCAAGTGGCTGCGTGATGCTTAATTTCCAGCTGGGCCCACGACAGCCTGGTATTCAGTATGGTGGTTATGTGTAAGATCTTTCCTCCACATAAACAAGAAGCCTTTGTTATAATGGGCTTTATACATGTATTTCTCACTCATTACAGACATTCCCAGATGGCGTTCTATTTTTGTACTGGATATAAATGTTTAATTGGCACATTTTTGTGGATTTTTTCATAGCTTTTTTTATTTAGTATCTTAAAGAGGAGAATCATGGGGTAAGAAATTGGCAAGCTAAATACAGGTGTTTAAAATCAGGTATTTGCAATTTRTAGTCTGGAAAATTGTGATGGGCATATTAAGCTCTGTAGTCTAGCCTCATCTCCAGAAGAAGATACATTTTGTGGCTGCCTGGTTAGTTTTAATTTTGCAGTTAAATGTAAATTGAAAGACTAACATGTATTTTCTGTGTAAGATTGGAATTATTGGTGGAACTGGCCTGGATGATCCRGATATCTTAGAAGGAAGAACAGAAAAATATGTTGACACTCCTTATGGCAAGGTCTGTATAACATTTGTATTTATTACTGATTTTTTTTTGCCTGTTTTCAAGATGTTTTTATGCTTTAAGAATTTTTAGACTGGTAAATGAATGTATAAAGGAGGTGCTGGCAGAAGTTATTTTGGTTGCTATGTTTTGTGGGATTCTTAGTTTGTAGAAACAAAGTATTGCAAAGATGATGTGCAAAGGAGACTACACCTCTTCTCATTTGTAGATAGATGAATTTAGAAACTCAGTCCTGAATTTGTGGTCAAGGGATAAACCCTCTCTTACAAATTTGTGCTGATATGTGGCGTGTATTATCTGTCAGATTGCTACAAGAACCTTTCTGACTTGCAGAAAGCCATTTTTTGAGGCATATGGAATACTATTTGCCATGTGACTACTGAATTATGTTTTCCCTGCCAATGTAAGAACATTCTTATAGCTACATTATTTGAAAAATATTTGAAAACAGTAAACTATTATGACTGGTATTTTGCAGTTCCCAGTGCTGATGTTGGTCCTCCTGTGATCTTTCAAATTACATTAATAACAATGAAAATGCAGTCTATTCGATTTTTAAAAATACTAAATAAGCTTATAGCTATTAATATTCCAGCTGTCTTCTCTCCYTTGTCTCCTTCCACTATTTTCAGTATGTCAAAATTTTTGTATTGTATGGAAAATGCTCTGAAACCTTTTTGGATTCTATCTCCAGATATGGAAAATACTGTTCTCCTGCAGGCCAACAGATGGTGTTCCAAGCAATTTTCTCTTCATCATTGAATTTTGAAGCTTCTAAAAAGCTTTGTTCAGAATAGATTTTCAATTAGATTGTTTTGCTTTCTGGATGGCTGATCTTTAGTCTGAATCACCTCTTCCCAAATGGGCAAAGTATCTTTCTGTTTTAGAAAATTATTCTAGGGGCTGCCTCCCTTTTTCTGGTCATGGGTATATTGGGCAAACAAAGCYGGGGGGAGTTCAACCTTTCAATTCAGCCTTTTTTGCTTCCATCAGGAAAATCAGACCATGTAATGTAATACTTAAACTCCTCTTGTCCCTCCCCAAAACAGTGTACGTAATTTTGTTCCTAAACGAGCTCACAGGTAAAATGGAGTCTTGTGGARTCTCTGAGATAGTTTTTTGCCACAAGTGTTCCCTGTTCATTATGTTTTCTGTTCCAACTAACTTCTGAGGTGAGACCAGGGAAAAGGTGAACAATACTTCATGCATATTTATGTTACAGACAAAGGAGCTTTATTTCAATTGTTTGTTACTATAATAATTTGGGGTTAATTGCCCAGGGTTCTATTCTTCCTTTTCTGTTTTGCAGCACTGACTTGGGTTTGTATATCAGTCAGATATATTTGACTTGGGTTTTATGACAAGAGGGAAGTAGTTAAATACTTTTATGAATTTTTAATGTTTGCAAACTTTTTATTGGCTGTTTTATTGAATCCTCCTTTAAAAATACCACTCTAGAGGTTTGAATTCAGATTGTTCCATTGGAAATTTTTTATTGTCATCACTCCTGGCTATGTCTGAGATAACAGGTACAGCATTTGGAAAGAATTTGTGGGAGAAAGGGAGTAGAATGGAAGTACCCATTAGCTATGTTACGTGGCTAACCCATAGTTTGAAATTTCAGTTTCTATAACTTTATGAACATACCAACAGTTGGTCCAACCTTATTCATCCTCTTTATCATTGACCTGGATGAAGGGATAGAATGAGCCCTAAGCCAGCCTTAGGCAGGAAGGCGGAACTAGCAGATCTTGACAGATCCTTTCCAACTCTAACAATTCTGTGATTCTGTGTTCTTTATTTAATATGTTTTAATGAACTGTGATGCAATATCTGCAATTCTTTTCTTAAACTGTCCATTTATCATTTCACAGTACTTTCTTTGTTCCAAGTATTTATTTTTCTCTTCCATTTTTCTACAATTCATGTGCAAAAAAAGATATTCAGTATGTCACCTAGAAAAGGCACAGAATGTATCTCATGGAAATCTGTGCAAAGGTGTCAGGTGGCCGGTACTGTTACACAACCATCCTGAAGCCTTTTGAAGTGCCAGTTTGGGAGCAGATGGGAAGGAAGCCCTGACTGCAGCAAATAGATTTTGAAGCCTGTGGATTTCAAAGCAGTTATGTTCTTTCTGGATTGCCAGTGTATGCCTATCTCCAGAATTTAGTCGAGTTYTGTCATGGGAATGAATATCAAATAGCACTTTTATACCCCAAACTTTTTGAAAATTGTTGTGAACTTAAATCTACCTCTTGCAATAAACTTGAATGTTACTTGTCAAGCAAAGAGTCCAGTCTTCAACTTACTGATCTCTTGATGGGAGGCAAGAACTTTCGCTGGAAAGTTTTTATATYCTTCTGTGGGCTAAGTGCTTATTAATTCAAACAGCAAGTGTGTGTAAAAAAAATCCCAAATGCTAATTTTGTGAAYTGTCCTTGTTCTGGAATATTGAAATGGCAAGTTGCCTTGGCTGCTTGACAGCAAGGCTTTTGCCCTGTGTGAAATTTCACTCTTAAAACCAAATTTGGTTCTGAAGAATTTATGTAAGATAAAGATTAAATACGTAAATAGCAGTTTAATATCAACTTAAGTATCAGTTTAATATTAAATGGAGACTTGAAAGAAGTCAGAATAACTACAGAATAACTAAACCTAAATTTTTGGGAATATTTCCTTTAAAAAAAAGTAGTAAGCGTCTGCTAGAATTTAAACATTGGTGATTAAGTAAATTGTGGTGCTTTGGAGAGCTTTCACATGAATAATTACCAAAAGGAGCTATGCAATAGAAAGTAGAAGGTGATTTTTTATTAGAAATGKCTATCTTTAATATGGGACTGCCATATCACTTCCCTGTAGATCTTTGCAAATTTTCAAGTATGCAATAAAGTCAACAGCTGTAAAACTAAATGCTAATTGAAATATTGCAGCTAGCATTATAATTTTGTTTGTATTCTAACAAGTAGCTGGCAACAGAACATTTCTGCATGTGAATATGCGAGYCTTTCAAGACACTTGCAAATTTGTGATCAGTATATAAACTGTGATTTTGCTAGTCGATGTTTTAACAAAAAGGGAAGCTAGAACATAGAATATTTCAGGTCCCTGAAGGCCAGGAGCAGAACAAAGCCCATGGAGCACTTTATTTATTGTAATGGTGGTTGATGACTCGGAGGCTGCCTCTCATAGGCATGATGATCCATCTCCATGGCAGTGTACATGTCCCTGCTGGACAGCTAAAAWTTAAGTTCTCTGTTGTCCTGGCTGGTTAGTAGTCAGAAAGATTGTATTTTCTTGTTGCACATCTGTGAGAGAAGTCCCTGGACTGAGCAAATACAGCACTGCTCCTGCCACTTACGTACCAGAATTTCTCTATCACAGTTCACATCCCAAAAGCAGTACTTCCAGCAGCATGGAAGAGTGAGTTTTTCAGGAAGCTGGAGGTGAGTGAAGCGTGGGTTGGAGGAATCCAGAACTCTTCACACCCCTGCTCTGAGCTAGAGGCCCTACTTGGAAAGGGGACAGAGAAGAAGTGCAATGGAAAAGCACAGATTAAATGTGATTTATGTTGGAAGGGGGCTTTAGTAGAGAATGGCACCTATTTAGCAAAAAGAAACTGCAATTTACATGAAAAAATGAGGCATGCTAACCACTTTAATGGTAGTATGCACATGCTACTATTTTAATGTCTGAAATACTCTCTTGATATGTTGGGAAGTATTATTTTCAAACTCCAAAGTAAAGAGTTGCAATATTTATGTCAGTATGAGCGCAGAAGAAAATTGCTATAATCCTCCTGGCCTCCAGTTTGATCTTTCTATTGCAGACTGTTTTACTTATCTGCCTTACAAATTACAGAACTAGCTCAAGAAAATGTGAGACTACAATGGTAACAATGCAATAGTATTTTCTTCCATAATTGTTGCACTTATATTGAGGCAATACTAAAGGTTTCTAATGTGATTGTCAGGCTGTAACTCATTCTTATTTGCTTGTTTTGCAGCCATCAGATGCTTTGATTTTGGGAAAGATCAAAAATGTGGACTGTGTCCTCTTAGCAAGGTAAATGGGTATTTTAAGGGGGCTTGTATTATGCATTTTAAAGTTTCCTCATAAGTTTTTCATTAAGTGAACTGAATTTCTGCTCTAGCATCATCTCGCTCTAGCATCATCTTGCTCTGTGTGGTTGTTAGCAAAGTCCGGCAGAAGTCTGGGTTTTTTGTGAGCAAATTTGATTCTGCAAGGGCTGAGAATATTAAAAATGCTGTCTAGGTTAGGAAAAAAATCCAGTAGGTGGTATTGCCCTAATAAGAATGGCAACCTGCAAGACCTGTTTTTATGGTAGGTAGGTGGTCATGAWAACCTCAGAATTCATCTACTCATTGTCTATGCAGATTTCCTTTGTGAAGTAGAGACAATGTCAGCTTCCAAATTAAGTATGTCTCTGGTACCACTGTAAACTCCTCCAAATCATTCTCTTCGATTACTGAGTCCTCTGCCTCTTACAGTTATTGCTTAAGGGGCTGCTTCCCCTGCAGTTTCCTCCCTGTGTCATTTTTGTTCTGACATTTTTTACTATACTCAGCAGAAACCCTGGAAAAAGGATCTGCAGAATGAATGTGGAMATTTCACACTGATGTAACCAACTTGTTACTAGATTAAATACTAATGTTAAGAATACTAACACAGTTCTTGGCATCTGGGGAGAATGGACAGAGCAGGTGCTGATGACAGGGTCCATCAGCAGGTCCAGTCAAGTGAAGGTGATTAGTCAAGTACAGGATCCATCTGGGGAGTTCAGGCAGGAGCGGGAGGAGGTGAGAGACAAATCTATAGCTTATGTCTACAGCCCATGCTGCTCTGGAGACAAGCTACAGCATGGATGTGAAGGCCGTGTGAGAGACAGGGCTAGAGACAGGCACAGCTGTGACATAGCTCAGGCAGGAACGAAGGCTGGGGCCTGAGGCTGGAGGCAGGAACACCTGGGCTCACAGGCATCAGGAGTTTGCATAGATGCCAGGGCACTTAGGACCCAGTGGTGCACTCAGGGCTCAATTCTTTTCATGCCAGTGTTTTTCCATTAAAGCTGCTGACTGCTAACCATCTCTGCAACTGCACTTCTGTCTGTGGTTTTACTTTCCTTATCTTTCATGGACTTTGCTCATGTGTCTTATTACACCTGGACAACATTTTTCTCCTTTTCACAAATGAAATTCTAAGTCAAGATATCATAGCTGTGCTGTTCCAAAGCAGACCTTGGACCACAGACGTCTGAACAACTTGGCTGTGGTTTACCTCCTCACTGGGATTTATTTCRTATAGGAAACTTTTGCTTTACTGTTAGGGCTAAGGTACCTGCAAATTTTACTTTGTGTTTTGGCTTCTGAATCAGATTGGAAAAAAGGACATATGTATTCTATAAGAAGATAATGACAGCAGCTGYAATAGAGCAATAAATCTGTGTGCCTATCAATAGCTTATCAGAAATGCTAATGAGAACATTAGAACAACATGAGAATCCTGCCTGATAGGGCTTTGTCATGTCATGTGCAGTTCCTGAATGATCCAATTCTTAAGACTTTTTGTCCTCTGAAAAGATGAGCTGAGAAATTAAGTTCCTTTTCTCTTATGTGGTTGAAAATAATTTTCCAATGCATCTAATCATGTAAGTGGTGTACTTCTGTAGCAAAGACAGAGATAGCACAAAAGTTTGTGCTTGTAAGACAAAGTATTTCCTGTCTTGGTGAAAAAGAATAAAARGAGCAGCAGTGTGAAGTCATTCTTTTAATATATGAAAGCTGTCAGATCACTTCAAGATCAGAGAGAAAAATGTGATGATTCTACTGTTTTCTTTGGAAAGATGACAGAACACAATGTCCTGTAACGCACTGTTCTTTGTGTGGGAGCATATAAGCAACACTTCTGGGTGGAAAATTCATGGAGGTGTATATAAACCTTTAAAATTTCCTGTATTGTACGGAAAAGCGGTTTCAGAATCTATGGAACTGACTTAGAAAATTCAGGGAAGAATCCTTATTTTAATTTTGAAGCTGCTGAAGTATATTTGAATTGTATTTTTAAGATTCTTTTTGTTACAGTCTTGAACATATAATTTTGYGTTTAAAAAGAAAATTTTACCAGTGCTTTATAAATTGAAGAGAAGCTTAATAAATTTGGGAAAACAAAATACACCGTAAGTAGCTGAAATGGTCAGTTCCATTTCCAGTATTGTTAGTGACAATATGTTTCCTGGAATCCTGTTTATTTGGGATAAGGAAGGCAATTTCATTCAAATATATTTTACTCTCTTGTAACATGTATCTTTGCAGACATGGAAGGCATCATACAATTATGCCATCAAACGTCAATTACCGTGCCAATATCTGGGCATTGAAAGAAGAAAATTGTTCTCATGTTTTAGTGACTACTGCCTGTGGTTCGCTACGAGAGGAAATACAACCTGGTGATCTTGTCATAATTGACCAGTTCATTGACAGGTGAGTAAGAGGGAGAAAAAAGAGGACAAATGGGGTTAAACCATATAAAACATGTTCATGTTTAGTTTTTGTAAAATGAGGTGATAGCCTCAGTTCTTCTGTCAAAAAGCAAGACTCATACAAGAAAACGCGGTAGGAAATAGGAATGCAATTACAAGAAGTTCCATTCTAACAGAGATAGAAGTGGCAGGCTTTGGAGAATGTCCATGAATGAACTTAAAGTATAGCTCCAAGAAGAGACTATTCTTCAGAAGAAATCTCCTATTCTCAGATGAGGGAGAGAAACACGAATAAGAGCACAAGCCATTCCGAGTTTTATGAAGAATCTGAAATGGGATGAAGAGGTGCAAGAAAACATAGTAGGAGTCAGCTAGGAAAATATATGCCATAATAATGAGGTCCTGCAGAAGAGAGATTCATGCATCACAGCAGCAAAAGAGAGGGAGTTGTTTTAAAGCAAGGATAGATGCTTGTATATCCGGTTTGTTAAGAATCATAAGCAAGTAAATAAATTTGTTGCCAAAATCTGTGTATGYCAGCTAGTCTTGTCCTCCTTGATTATCTGATTAGAAAAATTCAAGCAAATTTGGGGGCAGAATAAAGCTACATTTAAAGATCACCAGCAACACCAGTAATTCAAAGATGTGGTTGCACATTTTAAGGATAAATTTATTTTTTATACTTGGAGGTGTATTATATCTTGAAGTCTTACTTGGGTATTCCACCTAATTTAAAGTATTTAAAATGGTTTGTGCAGCTCCTTTGGGCATTTGTGGTATCGCTGTTAATATTTCATTTCCAACTGAACACGTAAACCTAGATTTGTTCCCTTCAGTGCAGTGCTGTTCAAATTTTGACTTACAGACTTTTTTTTTTATTTTTGCATGTGTGACTGAAATGCTTTTTTTCTTGTAGGAATAGGATTTAAATATAGTGTATCTAAATTACTAAGTACCCTGCAGGGGCAAGCCCCATATAATCTGCTTCYTCTTATACCAGAGTTGATTTATGGGTGGATATCAGCTGTATTGCTGACAGTGCTCCTTTTTTTTTAGTATTGATACTGATTTATGTAGGAAGGATATTAAGTAAATTTTGGGGATGTGGTTTGGATGATTGTGAGTCAAGCYCCAGTTATTTTGACAGCATTATCATCTGCCAGACACTTGGGTAAGTGAGGAAAGCCTCTGCTTGGCATTGGTGTACCCCACCTGGAGTACTGTATCTAGTTCTTCGCTCCACAGTGCGATAGGGATATGGACAAACTAGAGAGAGYCCAACAGAGGACTGGAGCATCCTCTCCTAAGAGGAGAGGCTGAGAGAGTGGGACTCTTCAGCCTGGGGAAGACTAGACTCAAGGGAAATCTCACTGATGTGTAGAAATACCTGAAGGGAGCGTGCAAAGAGGAAGAAGCCAGGCTCTGCCCAGCTGTGCCCAGGACCAGAGGCAATAGGAGCAGACAAACACAGGAGGTTCCCTCTGAACATCAAGGAACACATTTTACTGAAGGTGAGGGACCACTGACACAAGTTGCCCAGAGAGGTGGTGGAGTCTCCATCCTTGGAGACACTCCAAAGCCATCTGGACATGGACCTGGACAACCCATTCTAGGTGGACCTCCAGATGATCTCCAGAGGCCASTTCTACCCTCAACTATTCTGTGATTTGTGTCTTCATTTAGAGTTCATTCACATGGTCACTAGTAGTAATGATATAGCCTATTTATGAGCAGTGTTTCATTCAGGAAAGTAAGTTTTCATTTTGATGTAGGCAAGTGGAAACTTGTTGTGACTTGTTTAATGACTTCAGGAAACAAAACAGCTTCTCAGAAATGCATGTGAGAATGTTTCAATGTGGAAAACTATATGTAATATGAATCCCCAACTTGGCCATTTAATTCTGAAAACTGATATGTCACTATAGTCGGTCTCTTTTGACAGCTGAATTTCTGTGTCAAGTCTTTTATTCATTATGTTCTATGTCAGGSAGTGTTAGACTGTCAGGTCCTTGGAGGACCTGGAGGTCTGCATTTAGCCCTTCACAGTGGTCTAAGAGTGATTGCATTATATAAGTCATTATGAAAACAGTCCTACTGATGGGAAGATATTTTCATGAGACAAAATATATTAAGTTGTCCACCAGAGTCTGAAAAGATAGAATTTTTCTGAAATACCTTCTAATGAAAGATCAGGATTCTGCAAACAGCGTTAATAGTCTTTGAAAGAAGGTACTGGTTAAATTTCTAAAAACAGTCAGTGTTTTTCTTGAAAGATACTCTGGCTTCTCTATACTGATTAACCCATGCCAGATACTACATAGGAAAGAAGTCWTGGTCTAAGTGCCAAAGATTTACTGAAGCCACCAATAAAATCAATGCCTTCTAGTGTCAAGGTACTTTTTAGTATCTRGGCTCTCTCTRTATATATTCTCAATAAAGATAATTCCTATTCTCAGTTCTCCTTACAGATATGAARCAAAAAGAAGGAATTGTGAATAGGRCTGGGASAAGAKAATAAATTGAGCAGAAAACTRTAGGCAGCTATTGTACTGCTCTCCCTGGSCATGTGCACTGTGAAATTAATGACAGGATTGCAATATGAGGAATTGTGTACGACTTTTGCCTAGCATAGGTTTGACTTACAATTAGTATRGAACACTTAATAGGTGTAATTAGAACTATACAAGATTTCCAAACTTTTGAGAATCTGATCTTTCAGATCATTACCACCCCTAGTGTTTGATTGCGTATATAGTCTTCACATTCTTTGTGCTTGTTTTGTGCATTTAAACAATAAAATATAGGTTTTGTTAAATAAATACAAAAATATTTATATTGTGTTCTACTTGCTTCCAAATCCAAAACCAGCCACTTGGTACTACAGGCTGCAACACATGTTTCCTTCTTTAAAAAATACTTTTAAAATCTGTGATAATTTTTTTTCTACCTTTGACTCTTGTTTGTTAATTGCAGCCCTGTTAGTCAGTTGACTGCATCAGGCTGGTTGGAGGCTTTTGAATACTTTCTGTGTGGTTTGCTGCTGATATTTGCTCGGCAGAGAAGAGCATGACAGTAACTACTTACTTGAATGACTGAGCTCAATTGGGGAGATGCTGAAAATAGCTTCCTGTAACAGCTGCCAATTTTATTGTTTCCGTTCTCTGTGTCACATACACAATTGTAATTTCTGCAGTATTGTTACGCTCTTTTGTAGGAGAATCTTTTTTCAGTGTCCCTGAAAGATGCAGAGCTTACTGAGACTGCTTTCTATACAGTTGATGCCATTTTCAATTTACATTCTGTTCTTTATTTACCAGTAGTCTGATAATTCAGTACTACTGGAAGAAGGATGATGATGAAAGTCTTAAGAGGGCTGTTTGTCACAGATGAAAATGATGCGTTTGTTCACTTGCTTGAGTTGGATTTTRCTTCTTAGAATCAGTTGTGGTCAGAATTGCCAGAAAATTGTGTGTTACTGTAATAAAACCAAAATGAAGGAGCAAAAGCCACCTTACTGTCTGATTAAAACRTGACTGTTGCTGCAGAGACAGTGGGATATAATATCCAGGTGTGTTTTAAACCTCAAGATAGAGGAAAAATTGTCTTACATGTGAACACRTGTGGTCCATTGTTTAAAGAGTTACAGGTCTTACTGTTGTTACTTACTCCAATGCAGTTTGTRTGTATGGTGCTAAATGTGGTGGGTTTTCTTTATGAGGGCATGTAGTGATGTGGCTGGTATCGTCAAAGAACACAAGGTGTCTGACAGGCAGATATTAATATTTATGCAAATGTGATCTTTCCTTGGGGCATTTCTGATTTAAATTGCCTAACAACATCTGAAATACTATGATGCAGGAAATGGATTATGACTTTGACCATTTCCTCCAACTCTAAATAATTCATTAGAAGACAAAATAGAAAAGTGTGAAAAATCACATCTTTCTATTTGAAGCTTTTCAGTATCCCATAAAGGAAAAATTAATACTAGTGTTTCAACTGATTTTAACAGCTGTATTCCATTTTCTAGATGTTTCTGATTTGTCCCTGTCTTTCCTCATAATCTCATTCTTAAGGCTTCCCTATTGATTCTTTTTTCCAAACCTTCTCTAATATTTAACTTGTATTTAAAACTTTTAAGTATTTCCTAGTGACTGTATTGTGAAGCTGTTACAAAAAGTATTAYCCGCAGATACTTTGTATTTCAACTSTAGAGTGATTTTAGGCTTTGTCTTCATTTTCTCCTGCAAAGCACAATATGTGACAGTCTGCAGGAAAAGAAGGGAGTGCCTGAGAACGTTGTTCCCGAGGGTTTGCACCACCCAGTTGGGTGGATTAGCTTGAGGCAGTGCATGAGAGTAAAGTGATGGTGGGTAACAGTTCCATGTGTCCCAAAATAGCATGCTCAATGATAATTTCAGCAGCATGTTTGACCATTACCATGCAAGGAAACAATTCCTCAGTTGAAAGAAGAGAGAAAAAGGATGCTTCTACYTGGAAGCTGGCAGTGCATGTGTRTGTGATACTTCTGTTGTGAGAACATGAGGACGCGCTGTTCCAAGAGGTTTATGATTGAATTCACACTTCGTTCATGCTGGGAGCTTGAAGCTTGTAGCTTGTAAATTCCCATTCTTTCAATGTAGGAATGCAGTGATATGAACAAGTTCTGTTTTGACTAGCCTTGTGGTAATTGGGATTTTATTCCTTCCCTTTCTTAAAGCTTACTTGTACTTTTTTTCCAGAGGTTACGTGCCTCACTATTAAATTACCTGATGGTTTTGAAGTAGAATCACAKCACACTAGAATGTGGGTGTTCATGTCATTTAGGAACAAATCAGCATTTCAGTGTCTTGGTTAACAAAAGGTTTTCATAAGGAATTGACAATGCACCACTGGAGTAATGGTTTTCTACTCTTCAGCTCAATTCTCAAAGGTTTGTACACAGGCAAAACYGAATTACAGGTGGTCCCTAGTATCATACCGATTTTTTTCTACTGCTCCCAGGGATGCTGTGTTTTTTTTATTTGTATCAGTTTGTTGCTTCCTCTTCYGTTTTCTGTCTGTTCTAAGCATGTTTTCTGTTTTTCTAGGACAACTAAAAGGCATTGTACTTTATATGATGGACAGCATTCYGGTCTCTCAGGAGTATGTCATATTCCAATGGCTGAACCATTCTGCACCAAAACCAGAGAGGTTAGTGAATTTAGTGATAGTATCAAGTATGGCACTTACTTGTGATATATTAGTCAAATTGTGGATTCTTAGAATACAGAGGCAATATGCACCTCTTTATCCTGTTTCTGTGATACATCATGGTATTAAAGATAAATGTAACATTTGGAACACATGGGAAGTAAAAGATCTTGTGCCTGTCTTCCTAAGGGGGAGGTATGCAAAAGAAATCAATTGGCAACAGATTTCTCCAGAGTGTCAATAACAGGGCAAAAGATCCTTATCAAGTAACCAGCCAAGAAAACAACAAAGTGAACAAAACAATTAGGTTTAGAAATTAGTTCACTTGTGTTCTGAATAAAGCTGCACCTGCGGTAGAGGCACTCTACATGCTTAACACTAATATTTAAATAAGTAATACTTTCACATTTACAGAAATTGCAGTATTGCATTTGTACATAGGTGGTGGGTGGTGGTGGAGAGTCAAGGCTTAAGATGCTAAATGTTGAAACATGCCAAAATTATTTTAACATTTTTTTCTTTGTTGTTGCTCTCAGTTGTGTTACTTCAAGATTTTCAGGCTTCTTAGACTAGAGAGCATGAAACACTTTTTTATTTTTCAGCACCTTTATAAGCTTCTGGGAGGAGTGTATCTGATTAAATATGTCACCTCAGTGTATTCCTAGAGTTGAGGAAAAAGGAAGGTGAAGACTGAACTGCACGTTTTGTGGTGCTGTGGAATGCTCTGATCAGAAGCTGCAAGGATTTACATTCTTCAGAGGAGCAGGAGTCTTACAGAATCAGTCATACCCATCTAACAGATGTGCTCTTTGCAAGCTAGACAAAGCTGAATTGTGAAGCAGGTGGCACAATCTATACCCAACAAACATTGTACTACTGATCTTTTCTGCTTTTGTCACCAATTCACTTCAGTGTCATTGTGGGTTATTTTTGTTAATTGGCCACACTGTATTTTGGAGATGTCCACAYTGGGATCAAGGTGTATTGCAATGAGCTAAAGATATTTTAAGTCTCATGAAGAAACAAGCCACTCTAYATTATACATGAGTGTGGTTTTCCCCTTCTTCCACTGGACAGCAAATTGTGCAAAATACTTYGCATTTTTCTTGCAAAAAGAGCCTAGCCACATGCTCTTACCAAAGATTTATTGGCATTTAGTTGCTTTCTGTCTGTGAGCATGATGTTACATCACAGCAGATGCAAGGAATTTATTAAGAAGCTGATTCAGAAGTATTAGTACTTTGGTGATTGGAGTACTTCACACTGTCTTTTTTTTAAAGTAAGTACTTATACATAACACATTTCTCAAGACTGCAGAAAACATATCCCTAACTAAGATTAACTTTCTTTCAGTTGTTAACTGTTACATTTTTTGAAAAGCCAGCAGAGAAGYGTGCCTTTTCAAACAGAGGAAAAACATTTAGGTACTTCCCAGTCTCACTTGTGATCATTATCTCATTAGCCTATGCATTCTAATCAGATGTCTTAAAGCCTAACAGATGTCTTAAAGAACRTGTGGTTTTTGAGCTCTTTGTGAGGCTGAGAAGGAATATTTTCACTTCATTTGAAAGTACCAGGTGAAAGTGACATGAATTTTTTCCTGAAACTATCTCTGAAAATTGTTGCAATACTTTCAGCCCAGTTTATCCCAATTCAGAAGAATTCCACAGATAAATGCAATAATAATAAAGTCAAAATTGTGGCTGTAACATACTATTTAAGGAATTTTGCATGAAAATGTTGGAAAACTTCTTATTATATTGCATTTGTGAAAATATATTAAAATATTCTGGTTTAGTTGGTGTATGCACTGTGGATTAAATGAGAATTTAAATGGAGTTTATCTTTTTTYCTGTGAAGTTTCGAAAAACATAGGGTATCTTGGTTTTACTGCTTTTAGAAACTGAGGTTCAACAAAACATCTTATAGGCAGTAAATTTGGAACTTTTATAAAGAGTTTCAGAAAGGTACTGCTCAACTGTGTATGAAGTCGTGACACCATTTGTTGATTTATGAACAGTGTAATTAACTGGCATTCAGTTAAACATATAGTCAGAATTAATAGCAGCAATAAACCAAAATATTTGGTGTGATTAATATTAGATTAACTTACAGCACTGAATGAATCACAGAATATTAAGGAGTTGTAAAGGACCTTAAAGATTATCTAGTCCCATCTGCTCCTGCCATGTGTAGGGATGTCTTCCACTAGAACAGGTTGCTCAAGGCTTTGTCCAACCTGGCCTTGRATGCTACCAGTCTTGGGGCATCCACAGCCCCTCTGGGCAGCCTCTTCCASTGTCTCACGACCCTCATGTTAAAATATTTCTTCCGAATAGCTAACCCCTCTTTCAAATTGGTCCTGTTATTCCTTGTCCTATTGCTGCAGTTCCTGATAGAGTCCCTATCCACCTTCCTTACAGAACCCTTCAGATACTGTAAAGTTACTAYGATGTTTCTGTGCACCCTTCTCCAGGCTGAACAGCCCCAACTTTCTGTCTGTCTTCATAGGAGAGGCTCCTCCTTCATTCATAGGAGCCCTTTGGAACTTTTCTAGCAGTTCCACGTCTTTCTTACAGTTAGGATCCCAAAGCTGGATGCAGTGTTCCAGGTGGCATCTCAGCAGAGCAGAGTGACAGAATCCACTCCCTTGCCCTGCTGGCCATGCTGCTTTGGACACAGCCCAGGATCCCGTCGGCTTTCTGGGCTGGGAGTTAACATGTCCGGGTCATGTTGAGTTTTTCACCAGCCATCACCCCCAAGTTATTCTCGACAGGGCTGCTCTCAATCACTTTTCYACCCAACCTTTAGCCGCATCTGGTATTACCACAACCCAGGTACAAGACCCTGCWCTTGGCCTTGTTGAACTTCATGGGGTTTGCACAGCCCCACGTCTCCTGTCCATGTTCCTCTGGATGCCATCCCTTCTCTCCAGTGTGTTGAACTGCTCCACACAGCTTGGTGTTGGTGGTAAACTTGCTGAGTGTGCTCTCATGTCCATGTCATTGGCAAAATGCTGAACAGCAGCAGCCCCAACACTGACCACTGGTCACTGGTCTCCACACAGACAATGCACTGCTGACCATTACTCTGTGCATGCAGCCATCGAGCCAGTTCTTTRTCCACCCAAATCCTTCATTCTCAAATTCATGTCTCTGATTTGGAGACAAGGACAGTGTCACAAAATCAAGTTAATAAACCACAGATTCCTGTATGTCTTTCTATGGCTAATGCCCAAAAACTCAGCTTTACTCCTACAAACATTCGTGCAGTCTCATGCACAAGTATCCTGCCCCAGCACGTGTGGGTTACATGCACACCCACCCTTTTATAAGAGTGCAGACTTACCTGTGTATGTGCATCTGTAATGGCACATGTGGGTACTTCAGCTTTATGATGTGCTGCTCCTCACAATCATACTAGGCRGAAGGCAACGAGAGAAGGCAGCCCACAAGGTCATGTAACACTTGAGCTGCTGCTGCTGCTTGTTTGATCCATTTGTGTTGAGTCTAGGCGTTTCACAGTGTTTTGCTGGGAACCTGCTCCACATGGCCTAAGTCATGATGCTAAGAAGTTTCTAGTGGTGTCAGACTAGGTTTTTCACTGCTGCTGTGTTATGAAGGTCCCTCCTGGCCTACCACATTTTTCATGCTGCTTTCTTTTCAAGCTTTTCTTTTTGGTTGAAGGCCATTTTAAATAAGTGTCATTGTAGTTCCTTTCGCTTTCCTATTCAGGACAGTGATGGATATCCTAGTCCCATTCACCTAGGCTGGTACCCTCTTATTCCCACTGTATCAACTGGCATTATCCAGGCCAATTACCAAGAGAAAAAGTTGGGATTATTCTGCATTATGTGAGATCCTAATTGGAACTATAAATAATGTGAAGTACATGCTACATCAAATGTACAGGTCAGCCACTGGCATGAGAAAATGGGGTAATAATTTCTGCACAGATTCCCAGGGTACACTTTGRAGTATGTTCTTGCAGAGTTTCTCTTTCAAAATGTAAATTTCTTACTACTGTTCTCACTGGCTCAGTTCCACCATGTGATAATGTAGTGCTAAGTGGAATGCTTTTACCATTCCGGTTGCAATGTAGACACAGTGTAAATATGCAAAAAAAAAAACTGGTTTGCAGTCTTCCTGGTCTGCATTAAAAGCATTAATCCAACTGATACTGACAAAATCAGACATCCCTGTTTGTAGGACTGTTAACTTTTCTTATTGGACGAGGAAAGCAAAACTGATCTTTGGTTTTGGATAGCTGTAGCCATATGAAGTGTGACTACTTTGTATAAAGTTAACTAATGTATGCAAGTTTTTATGGGATGCAAAAGCAGTGCATGGGGGGAATTATTTCCTTTCCCTGACACTGGCATGTTTTGCAGGTTCTTATTGAGACGGCCAAGAAGCTGGGGCTCCAGTGTCATTCCAARGGGACAATGATCACCATCGAAGGCCCACGTTTCAGCTCTCGAGCAGAAAGCTGTATGTTTCGCAGCTGGGGAGCTGATGTTATCAACATGACTACAGTGCCTGAAGTGATTCTTGCGAAGGAGGCTGGAATGAGTTATGCTAGTATTGCCATGGCAACAGATTATGACTGCTGGAAGGAACATGAAGAAGCAGTGAGTGAAAAGTTTTTCCTCTCTTGTTGTCCTTAGGGATTTGGATGAGAATGTGTAGGTTTTGATCAGAGTTGACATACTGTGCTAAGTCTGTTCTTAATTATGTTAGTATCCCTGAGTCATTCTTGATTAATGATTGTGAAAGTAAGAATGGAGTCACTTGTTGCTCTCATGCATTTTCATAAACCTGCCTCACTACTAGCAAAACCTTTTGTTTCTTGTTGTTTGAATCAGGATCTGTGAGTATGTAGCTTATTAATTCTGTGTGACTTGCCTTCCTGTAATTGGCCTAGTGTTTTTTATTTTGCAGCTCTGTGCAAAACAATGTGTATTTAGTTCTCCTATTTACAATACAMAAGTATAAACCATACACACACAGAGGAAAGGTATTTTTACTATCTAAAAAGACTGAGATATTCTAAGACTTCACTTTTAGACTTCTGAGTTAAATATATTTGGGTGTTTAAAATATGTGCCATCAAAATTGAGAGACACCACTCAGTTGTATTCTGTTTCTAGGTTTCAGTGGATAAAGTTTTAAAGACACTGAAGGGGAATGCAAATAAGGCTACAAGCATACTCCTTACTGCCATACCTCAGATAGGCTCCATGGAATGGACCAACACCCTGCACACTCTGAAAGTAAGTACACGAATAAGAGCTGATGAGTACCAGGGATAACACATGTTATATGTTACACAGAACACAGGTATGTTACAGGATGCTTATGTGTAAATAAAAGCATTTCAGAGTAAATGCTTCAAGAAACCGAATCCATTCAAGAAGGGCAGACAGATTCTACAAGGTTATCACTAGTTCTGTTGCGAAAGTCTAGCTTCAGTATTGCAAGAAGTTTTGGAAAAGGTTAAAAAAAATTGACAGCTGTATATGGTTGATACAGGGTGTTATCCTTCATAAGACACAAATAAATGAGATACAAATTAAGCTACAAATACATTTGAGTGTCCAAATAAAACCCTGATCTTGGATCTTAACACAATGGAGAGTCAAGTGGAAGAGACTGAACCAAACCAAAAACATTATGCTCCCTTTAATATGTAGAAGAGAAGTCTGTTACAAGATACGGATAATAATCAGTTTGAAATTATTAGAATTGTGTTCTCTCACAGGTTTCAAGTCCAAAGCRCATGAAAAAACAAGGAAAAGAAAAAACATTTTAAAGTATATTGGTGAGGGAATTTTTAGGCAGAATTTTTGTTAGATAATGTTTACTTAGACATTTTTTATCACCTGCATTACACAGGCATACTTGAGATTCATTTGTGGCTATATCAAAGAGGGAAAAAACTATGTTAATACAGTTCGGATGTCTATCCAGTTTCTCAACAAGTTTTTTCTGACAAATAGCCACTTCTGGGAGTACAAGATCATTTAGCATGAGAGCAACAGGATTATATTGAGCTGGTGTGGGAGACAGGAAAAGATAATTGAAATGCTAAAGACAGATTGCAGACAGAAGTGGGCCAAAGGGATCCCTCTTGGCAGAAGCCCAACAGTCTGGAAAGGAGGAAGCCTGTTGAAACTTTTGAAGGAATCAAGTCTCTGATAATTTTCCTCTCTAACTTCTTTCTTCCTTTTTTCCAAAAATCCGTTGGCTGAATTTTGGATGAGTAAGAAGGATAAGCACAGGCATAAGTCACGTCTTCATATATGTGAAAGTGTGTTCTGATTTGGATAAAATTTCTGGTTTTACTTTTGATATGGTTCTCTTGCATAGCGTTTTGATGCTCACCAGATGCCAAGTACCCATCAAAGCTGCTCTCTGACTTCCCTCTGCAGCTGGACAGCAGAGAGAAAAGATAGCTAAGGGTTCCTGGGTTGAGATAAAGACCAATAGAGAGAGAGAGATCATTCATCCAATAGGAGAGATCATTCATCCAATACTATCACAAGCCAAACAGGCGCCAATTAGAGATATTAATTGAATTCATTGCTAACAAAATCAGGGAGGGATAATGAGAAATAAACCCTTAAAAGCACCTTCCTTCCACGCCTTCCTCCTTTTCAGCTCCATCTCCTACCCCAGCAATGCAAGAAGACAGAGAATGTGGGTTGTGATCAGTTCATCACCTGAGGCTTCTCCCTCTGCTGAGGGAGAGGAGCTGTTCCCCAGCTGCACCGTGGGGTCCCTCCCGTGGGGGACAGTTCTCCATGAACTTCTCCAATGTGGCTTCATCTCAGGAGCAGCAGCTCCCTGTGAACTGCTGCAATGGGAATCCATCCCATGGGCACCAATCCCTCTCAGGCTGCTGCAGTGTGGGTCCCTGTTCCATGGGGTGCAGTCCTTCAGGGACAGGCTGCTCCAGCCTGGGAGCAGGGCTCCTCTCTCCATGGACCTCCCATGGGGTCACAGCCTCCTCTCAGGCAAAGTATGTAGCCTTTACAATTAAAAGTAATTCTCTGCATTGGCAGAAGAAGCATTTATCTACTGTGACTTTGTATTTCAGACAACAGTGCAGTGTTCAGTCATCCTGCCAAAGCAGTAACAACCTGGATGGACCTTGAAGTTTGAATGCTTTCAAGCAACCGTGGATCACTTTTGAACTCCTAGAGGTTGTATCTTCAAAAATTATTAAAGCTTAAAAGAATGGACTCAACATTGATCAATGATTCTTTGTAAGGCAGCTGTTAAAATCTTTGTTGGCTTGATCATGTATAAGATAGTTAAAATTAGATTTGAGTATGTTTTTAACTAAATATCTCTACTGACAAACTGTATCAGACAGTGGTCAGACAAAAGAAGTCAGTATCCTCTATTCAGTGGTACCTTTTAATTGATGGTAGAAAGGAAAGTCTAAGTAATATTGTTGTTGCAGTTTCATAAAATAAGGTCTAAGAAAGCAGATTCACAGGCTATTTGTGTTGCTGTTTCTACCTCCCAGCTTTTCCTTCAACAAGGCACATGGTTACAATTCACTCCAGAAACATAACAGAAAAACTGAACAAACAATTTGAAATTAAAATTGTACTATTTTTATACATTATCCATATTTTTTATTCCAGTGATTTTTTTAAAGCAGTGTTTTTGTTTTGTGTGCTGGAAGATGTGATTTAATAATTGTGGTGGTTCTGTCACAGCAGCAGTTGTGTAATGTGTTAATGTTGAAGAGGCTGAGGTAATGCCTAAACCAAATTAGTGCCTGAAGATGTGCTTACGTCACTTACAGAACTGTACAGAAAAAGTGCTTTGCTGCCAGTGTCCCAAACACTCTGCTGGCCATTTTCCACTTCATTGAACAATTCCAGTTTTGGTTCCTGTATTAAGTGATGAATGTGCTCAAGTGGTTTGAATGTATGCATTTCAATTTTTTTAATACAGTTTTATTTTAATAAAATAACCTGCTGCTTCTTGTCTAGTAAATAAAACAAATTAAACATAYGGTTCTTCAAGATGTGTGGAAACTGGATTTTTTAAAATTTCCTTCTAGTCCTTATAGCTCACAATGAACTTTGCCATTCATGGAACAGGTTGCTGATGATACCTTGTGAACAGCGCTTTTAGAAAAACCCTTTATAAAATAGTATGCTGCTCAGAACTTTATGTTCTAAGTCCCTGAACAGCAGGGATTGCTGAGGGAGAAATGGATCAGAATGCAAGGAAAAGATCACAAACATAAAAGGTAAGGATTCTCATAGTAATGTTTAAAAAAAAAATTAATCTGAAGAGGAATATAAGAAGCAGGTGTATAAGCATTTTAGCTTCCTARTATTTTTCTATTAGACACCCAGTCTCCTGCTGCAAAAGTCTTTAGATTTGGACATATTCTTTGTAGGAAAACCAATAGAAGTCCTTTTCAAATACCTGGGAAAATAGCTTAACCTGTTGATTTTTTAAGAACTTGGATTGCAGGAGCCAGAGGTTGAACATACGTTTCATTACCTTGCACTAATCCAAATAATATATCTGGCCTTAAGAATGGTTCCCATTTTTATCTTTCTTCCGTAGGCAGTTCTGGTGAATTGGATCAGAGCCAGGAAATTCATGTCTGGGTGTTCTAAGAGAAAGAACTTTCTGGGTGTCCATTTTCAATCCCCCTGGGTTTCTCTTTTTGCATTTGGTAGTGACATATAATGGTAATTGTTATGCATATGTTTTTTGTTTTCTGTATGGGTACTTGGTGTCACAGGACAGTGGCACAAAGCAGGTGMATAGGTGGTTTTCTTATACATTTCTGTTACAATTTCTTCATATGCAAAGCTGATGAGAGCACTGGGTAAGGATGGATGCATCCAGAGAGTTACAGAAACAGCACAGTGTCCAAGTGGAAACCAATAACAGGTGGTGTCCTTCAGTGGTCTGGGACCACTACTGGGTAGTATTTTCMTCAATTAAAGAAGGTAGTGGGATTGGGTTTGTGGATGGCAAAAGCATTGAGCTGAGGGGTGCAATTGGTTACCAGAGGGAAGGGATGSCATCCAGAGGCACCTTGAGAGCTCAAGGAGTGGGGCCCAAGTTCAACAAGGCTGAGCAGAAGGTGCTGCATTTGAGTTGAAGCATRGGTGATTGAGATCAGCCTTGTGGAGATGGACTTTGGGGTGCTCGTGGATGAAAAATTGAACGTGGGCCAACAACGTGCACTCACAGCCCAGAAGTCCAGCTGTATCCTGGGCTAYATCAAAAGCAGATTTTGGGAGSTGATTTCACCCYTCTGCTCTCATGAGACYCTATGTGGAGTACTACATCCAGCTCTAAGGTCTTCTCTAAGAAAAATGTTGGCCTGTTGGAGCAAATCCAGTAGAAGGCCACAAAGATCATCAGGGATGAAGCACCTCCTAAGAGGACAGGCTGAGAGATTTGGGGTTGTTCAGGTTGGAGAAGTCTCTGGGGAGACCTGGCCTTTCAGAATTAAAGAGGGCTTATGAGAAAGATGGAGAGAGACCTTTCACCACAGCTTCTAATGACATGTGTCGTGGTTTAGTCCAGGGCAGAAAGCCAAAGCAGCCATGTTTCCACCCCACCACCTCCGCCTGGAGAGGCAGAAGGAAGAGCAAAAGCCMAATTMACATCAAAATTTAAGGCTTTTAGATAAGGTAATTGAGAGAAAGATACAGATATGCTCCAGAAATAGTCAGACAGGAACAAAAAAAAACCCCTTAAGTTGCAAAATAGATTTATTATTAAGGACTAGTAAAAAWCTWCTGCACTGGRGATGGGAACAGAGATAAGGAAAAATTTACAAGGAAAAGAAAAAAAMCAGACATTTTAAGACACCTGTTATTCTCTCTGCAAACCTGTCTCTCCCAGCTTGCCCCTCCCCACCCCTCCATGCCTTCCTGTGTGCACAAGGGGGCAGGGATGAAAGTTTRRCATAGATCAGACTGCTCATTACCGTTATTCTCCAGCACCATRGGAGGAGTCCTTACAGCTCCAAGCTGTGGAAGTTCTTTTCCGAAGAAACAGTCAGTGTATAACTGCTGATGGCATGGGATTCTTTTCTTTACCTCRTGGGAGAAAGGAAAACAGTCCTYCAAGGCTGGCTGCATCATTTAAGCGGCGTAAGGCCACTCTCTCAAATCTCCTGGCAGAACAGAGTTTCTTCTAAGCATCAACTCACTTCAGATGTGGGGGGGCAACCTCTTTCCCCCTTTTGGCTTATGGTCAGTCCAGTCCTCCAAGGCCAGGTTTTTTATCTCAGATGCAGGGCCTCTCTTTTCTATACAG